TAGTGACGAATAGTCCAAAATACTCATTTAGAATCTATCGGAAAGTATTTTATGAAATAAAAAGCTCTAGTACTCAAAATGACCAAATGAGTCGTTACAGAGAGAACAGACTATTTATATTTATTGAACATACAAAAAATTTAAAGACTCAACATGAAAATACTTAACTATTGAGATAAAAATTGTTAGCATACACACACATGACAATCAAACAAGACACCAAAATTTTATCCCATAACTATTTTTTTATCCCATAACTATTTATTTTTATTTCTCACACCAAAAGACCCTAAAAAGTTTACAGAAAAAGAAAGTCATACATGAACCACTTTCAAATTGGAAACCGTTTCTTGCCTAATATATATTTTTTATCATGAAGATCAGTTTTGAAAATAGTCCATTACTACGATTTGTAATATATAAAGAGGAGCAGATCTTCCATTCTCATGAGACTATGATTTGTGTGAGATCGTGCAATGTTTAAGTTAGTAATTCTCATTTTTAGGTAGTTTTGGATTTCTTTTTCATTTATATTGATTTACAAAATCTTGTCAAGCTTTTTTTAAAAAAAAAAATCTTTATTTTAAGAGTTATAAAAATTTCTTAGTGTGCAAACATTTGTAACCGTAAATTATAGAAATTTTAATTGATTAAATAGATATGTTATTGGTTATGGTGCGTAATTTTTATTTTTTTTCTTAAAAATTTATATTTATGAAAACAGTTCGTCGTAAAAGAAATTGTAGACAATAAAATTCACAATAAAATTCGCGTCGAGAAAACAATAATCAAGAACGGAAAATTATAGCAACAATCGTTTTATTGATTTAGGTGCGAGTGTTACAATATCTATTTTTCCTCTGAATTCGCCTTTTCAAATATAATTCAAGGGCTCTTGAGCTTGATCTTGAACTTGAGATTTATCTCGATCTTGATCTCTATCTTGATCTTGATCTTCAACTTGGACTTGGACTTGGACTTGATTTTGAACTTTATCTTGATCTTGATCTTGATCTTGAACTTGAACTTTATCTTGATCTTGACTTCTAGTTGAATCCAAGGGCTTCGAGCTTGATCTTGAATCCGGCGGTCTTGATCTTGATCGTTCTTATCTTTATCGTTCTTGATCTTGATCGTTCTTGAGACTTGAATGCATGAATTCTTGAACTCTTGAACTTGTAGAGAAATCTGCAGCTTTTGATCCACGAGCTTTCTCTAGCTTCTTGTTAAAATTCTTGGTCTTCTATTATGAATTATGAGGACCCCTATTTATAGTTTTAAAATAGAGGAGTTGTGTTTAGAAGAGGACTCCCCCCGGCCAATCAGATTTAAGTGACATGGCATATGGGCTTTATGGAGCGGGCTTTAATTAAATTCATATTTATTGAATTTAAATAATTAACTCAATTATATTAATCCATAATATTTATTTGGACTAATATATTAATGAATTTAATATAATTCCAATCATTTTATAAATTTATATTTAATAAATTTTAAATGATTACAAATGCCCCCTGCTTCAAGTCTTGTCGAGATATTTTATCTTTCAAAGACTAGACTTGAAGTATTAATTAAATAATAATTTATTTGAGATTCCCCTGCAATGTTTAATTTGTTGTCTAACTCCAATACATGTAATTGGAGTGGGCACGTGAATCTACCACTTTCAAACATATATTTGACCAATTTGAATCATGATAGGAGGCAAATATATGCTTCTTAAAAAGCAATAAGAAAACCAATTTGACTAGGACTATATTTCCGTCAATTACTTTAGCATAGCCAAAAAGGAATTGCTATTAGTCTAGGAGAGGGATTTTATGATGCCATTTAAATTCAAAATGTAGTTGAACTAGGAATTGTAGTCCCACTTAATTTCAAATTCATATCCTTTTTCATTGTCCTAGCAAAAAAAGGAATTGTAATTGGACTAGGAGAGAGATTTTATTCCCACCACATGACATCTATAAATAGACACATAGTATCCATAATTTTGTCTTCAATTGCAGATTGTGAGCTACGAGCCTGTGACGAAAGGGGCATAATTCAAGGTAGTTTTCCTCCCTTTTTCTGATTTTCGTCACCCTTTCTACAGCTTGACACGTTTGTCGTAGAAAATTCATATCTCATTGTAGAAAAATCGAAATCAAGAACGGTTTGATTTTTCAGAAACTAAACTTCTCGATCTCTAACATATCCAAAATTCGGAATTTAATACCTTCAGAATATTTCTGGATGATTTTTTTTTTAGTTAGCTTTAAATTCTGTCATGCTGAAAATTCCAGATTTGTGTGGCTTTACTAAAACTCTTGTGTCTTGATGTAGGAACGACGAAATCACAAGCCGCTTGATTATTTAGAATCTAGACACAAAGGTCTACAATATATCCGAAATTCAAGGTTTAATACCTTCAGAATCTTTCTAGGTGATTTTTTGAAGTTAACTTTAAATTCTGTCATGCAGCTGATATTCTTAAGGCGAAAGAGGATAGATACACATCCCCACCCTAAGAAAGGTAATTTATGGTATTCTTATGGCGAAAAGAGGATGGATACGCATCCCCGCCCTAAGAAAGGTAATCTAAAGGTATTCTTTAAGGTGAAAAGAGGATGGATACTCATCTCCGCCCTAAGAAAGGTAATCTAAAGGTATTCTTTAAGGCGAAAAGAGGATGGATACGCATCCCCGCCCTAAGAAAGGTAATCTAAAAGTATTCTTTAAGGCGAAAAGAGGATGGATACGCATCCCCGCCCTAAGAAAGGTAATCTAAAGGTATTCTTTAAGGTGAAAAGAGGATGAATACTCATCCCCGCCCTAAGAAAGGTATTCTTTAAGGCGAAAAGAGGATGGATACTCATCCCCGCCCTAAGAAAGGTAATCTAAAGGTATTCTTTAAGGCGAAAAAGAGGATGGATACCCATCCCCGCCCTAAGAAAGATAATCTAAATGTATTCTTTAAAGGCGAAAAGAGGATGGATACGCATCCCCGCCTTAAGGAAAGGTAACTTTATGGTATCCTTAATGTGAAAAGAGGATGGATACGCATCCTCACCTTAAGGAAGGTAATTTAGAGGTCAAGACTTGAAAAACTTCAACTTTCAAACTTCGAATAATTTGAAGACTTCAACTTGCAGGCTTAAAGAATTTGAAGACCTCAACTTGCAGACTTGAAGAATTTGAAGACATCAACTTGCAGACTTGAAGAATTTGAAGACATCAACTTGCAAACTTTGAAGAATTTGAAGACTTCAACTTGCATACTTGGAATACTTGAAGACCTTCAGCCTGTATACTTGGAGGATTTGAAGACTTCAACTTGCATACTTAGAAGACTTTGAAGACATCAACTTGCAGACTTGAAGAATTTGAAGACATCAACTTGCAGACTTGAAGAATTTGAAGACATCAACTTGCATACTTTGAAGAATTTGAAAACTTCAACTTGCATACTTGGAAGACTTGAAGACCTTCAGCCTGTATACTTGGAGGATTTGAAGACTTCAACTTGCATACTTGGAAGACTTGAAGACCTTCAGCCTGTATACTTGGAGGATTTGAAGACTTCAACTTGTATACTTGGAAGACTTGAAGACCTTCATCCTATATACCTGGAGGATTTGAAGACTTCAACTTGCATACTTGGAAGACTTGAAGACCTTCAGCCTGTATACTTGGAGGATTTGAAGACTTCAACTTGCATACTTGGAAGACTTGAAGACCTTCAGCCTGTATACTTGGAGGATTTGAAGACTTCAACTTGCATACTTAGAAGAATTGAAGACCTTCAGCCTATATACTTGGAGGATTTGAATACTTCAACTTGCATACTTGGAAGACTTGAAGACCTTCATCCTGTATACTTGGAGGATTTGAAGACTTCAACTTGCATACTTAGAAGACTTGAAGACTTCAATTTTAAAGAAACTTCAAGCATGTTGTTAACCGAACTCATTTTTTTTAAGGTTTGCCCCCATCTATTGACCAATGAATACTTCGTACAAGTCTAAAGTTTGATGGGACAAAATATAAAACAAAATACTTACCGTTTTGATTGTCATATGACAGACCAAGTGGGAACATGTGGTTTTTTGACACTCATCCAATTGAACTTAGAATATATTCTAAGCGCCTACGTACCTCAGTGAAGAGGATCAAGTCACAACGTAGTTCTAGGGGATTAAGTGATTTTTTTTGTTTTTTTTTTATGTGCCGTACACAGTTTATACTCTTGCGGGCCAGGAGTGACATGCAGTTTAGGCTCGTACCTTAAGGAGCATCATCTTACTTCAAGGGTAGTACCTCTTTAGGAATTTTGCATTAATAGGACCAATCCTTACGCCATCTGCATCAACAAGCTTGTAAGCACCATGAGAATATGCTTCTTGTACGACATATGGTCCATCCCACTTTGAGGTAAATTTGCCCCCAGACTTGTGCGAAGTAATAATGGGTCTTCTTACTGCGAGAACTTGGTCTCCAACTTGAAAACACCTCAAGCGAACTTTCTTATTGAAAGCACGAGATAGACGAGCTTGATAACATTCAAGGTTTTGTTGGGCTTCTAGCCTCTTTTCGTCAAGTGCTTCTAACTCAGCAAGACGCAGTCAAGCATTTTCTTCTTCAGTGAGCCCTTCTTGAATGGCAAGTCTTAAGGAAGGTATTTGACGCTCGAGTGGCAGGACTGCTTTAACTCCGAAAGCAAGTGAATATGGTGTTGCTTGAGTTGGAGTGCGGTATGTCGTTCTATATGCCCACAAAGCTTCTTCCATTCTTTCATGCCAATCTCGTTTGGACTTGGAGATAACTTTCTTGAGGAGGTTGCATAGAGTTTTATTAAATGCTTCAGCAAGACCATTGGCGGCAGCATGATACATAGAAGATTTACGCTGCTTGAAGTTAAAAAGATCACAAATTTTGTTCATTAACTTATTATCAAATGGCTTGCCATTGTCTGTTATAATGTAGCGAGGGATGCCAAAGCGATATATGATATTCACTCAGATAAAATTTGCAACATTCTCTTTCTTCACTTCTTTAAGAGCGACAGCTTCAGCCCATTTTAAGAAGTAATCTGTTGCAGCCAAGATGTACAAGTGTCCACCGAAAGATTTTGGTAGTGGTCCCACAACATCCAGTCCCCAAGCGTCAAATGGCCAAGATGCAATAGTTGGGTGCAATACTTTGGGCGGCTGATGTATAAAATTCGCATGAAATTGACAAGCATCGCACCTCCGAGCATAATCTAAGCAATCCTTCACCATGGTTGGCCAATAATACCCCATCCTCTTTATGTGAAAGTGGAGTTTTGGTCCAGATTGATGTGATCCACACACTCCCGAGTGTGCTTCTTGTAAAGCTTGAATTGCTTCTTCCTCTCCCAAACATCGTAATAGTACACCCTCAAATGATCTTCTATATAATGTGTCCTTGTAATAAAGGAAGCGAGGTGCACGACGACGAATGTTAGTCCTTCTCTTTGGATCTTCTGGAAGTATCCCATAACACATGTAGTCAATAATGGGTTGTCTCCACTCTTCTTTCGCGGCTTCAGAAACGGCGACGAAATGATTAAACTCATCTTCTATACATTCTTCCTCATTTGGCAGTGGTACTATCCATTTTTGACAAATAGTCACCTGCGTCTGATCAGGAAGGGTTAGTGTTGAAGTAAGAGCAGCCAATGCATCAGCTTTCTTATTCTCCGTTCTACGCACATGTTGAAGGGTTACATCTCCAAGCCATTCTATCAACTTTTGAGCATAATCATGATAAGGACGCAATTCAGGCTTCTTCACCTCATAACTTCCCAAGAGTTGGTTGATCACCAACTGAGAGTCACTAAAGACTTGTAAGTTTAATTGCTTCATGTCAACGGCCATCTCAAGTCCAAGTATCAACGCTTGGTATTCAGCGACATTATTGGAGCAACATTGCTTCAAAGAAAATGAGAATGGTAGGATCTCTTCTTGTGAAGTAATGAACACTACACCAGCACCAGCTCTGCCACGATGTGCAGCTCCATCAAAGTACATTTTCCAAGGAGGTAGAACTTCAATTAACATTGCATCTTCATCAGGAAGCTCATCAGTTAAATCCCAATCATTCGGTATCGGATGGTCTGCCAAGAAATCCGCCAATGCTTGTCCTTTCACAGCTTTTTGAGGGATGTACACGATCTCAAACTGTTGGAATTGGAGGTACCATCTTGCTAGTCGGTCACTAAGGACAGGTTTCGACATAACAAACTTGATGGGATTTGCTCTAGAAGTAAGACGAACAACATGTGCTTGAAAATAATGCTTCATCTTTTGAATTGAGAAGACTAGCGCCAAGCATAATTTTTCAATCGGTGAATAGTTCAGCTCATTTGGTGTCATCATTCTACTCAAGTAGTAAAGAGAGTTTTCTTTGCCTTCACTATTCTCTTAAGCTAACAGGGCTCCTACGGACCTTTCTTGTGCCACAATGTAGAGTATCAATGGCTTTCCAGGTATCGGGGCTGCCAAAACTGGAGGTTTTGCTAGATATGACTTGATACTTTTAAAGGCATCGCTACATGTTTCGTCCCAATTAAAAGGAGCGCCCTTCTTCATGAGATGACCGAATGGTTGACATCGTCCTGCTAGGTTTGAGATGAACCTCCTCAAGTAGGCTAGCTTTCCTTGGAGACTTTTTAACTCATGAATGTTTTGAGGTGCAGGCATCTTCAATATTGCATCAACTTTGGCTTGATCAATTTCAATTCCTCGATGTCTCACAATGAAGCCAAGGAACTTTCCAGAAGTAACTCCAAAGGCACACTTCAATGGATTCATCTGTAGTTGATATCTTCGAAGCAGCTCAAACACCATTCTTAAGTCTTTCAAATGATCACTCCTCTTTATGGATTTTACCACCAGGTCATCAACATAACATTCAACATTTTTATGAAGCAAGTCATCAAATATATTTTGCATAGCCCTTTGATATGTAGCACCAGCATTCTTTAAACCAAATGGCATCACTTTGTAGCAATAAATACCCTTAGGTGTGCGAAATGCGGTGAGTTCTTCATCCTTTGGAGCCATGCGGATTTGATTATAGCCAGAAGAACCGTCCATGAACGACATTGCCTCATATCCAGTGGTGGCATCAATCATCAGCTCTGGAATGGGAAGAGGAAACTCATCTTTAGGGCATGCATTATTAAGATCTCTAACACATACTCGAATTTGACCATTCTTCTTCTTCACAGGAACAATACTTGAAATTCATGTAGGATATTTAACCTCACGAATAAAGCCTGCCTCAATGAGTTTATTAACTTCATTTTCTATCAATGGAACCAAGTCTGGCCTAAAGCGTCTTTGAGCTTGCTTAATGGGCCGAGAACCATTTTTGACTGCCAACTAATGGACCGCTACTTTAGGATTCAATCCAGGCATTTCTTTATAACTCCAAGCGAAGACATCCCTATATTCTTTTAGTATATTCATATAAGCGATTTCTTCATCAACTTCTAGAAAGGCACTCAAGTAAGTTGGCCTTGGGTCTTCATCAGTGCCAATGTTAACTTCTTTCAAAGGGTCTATTGTGGTCTTTACTCCTTCTTCAAGTTCCGGTGGAGCATCTCCAGCATCTTCCTCTTCTAAAGGATCATTGTCATTGACAGATATATGACAACACCAGACAATATCTTCTAACTCTTCATCAATCTTTAATTGAGGCAGAGAATCGTACTCATTTTGGATTGTAACATGATTTGAGGAGCCTACACTTTCTTCATCTTCCTCGCGCTTCTTGGTGTAAACCACGGTGCGAACCTTTGCCTTAAGCTCCTCTTTACATGAAACTACAAGTTCCACTCGTCGCCTCATTCTAGAAGGAATTAAACTTTTGAAGCCCTTTCGAACCAACTGTGAAGCAGGCGTTGTAACTTTTAAATAACTTCTCAGATTCTTGTTTTTCTTCAATGGACCTAATCTCTTGAACACAGAAGTTCTTGCAGTCGATTCTCCGAGTCGATCAAAGACGGAAAACTTTTTATTGGGAGCAGCAACATCATCTTCAAAAGTTATATGATTATTACTTGCTCTTCTTACGGAGATGCGAACTGGCGGTGGTTGGTTATAGCCTATGCCCTCACGTGCTTGCCTGGTTTTATCAACTGATGGGAGTTTCCCTAATATTGATGGCTCATTAGGGTTATATCCAGCCTTCGCAAATAACTTGTAAGCATTAGGATCAAAACCTTCTACCGTGCGTTTTGTAGGGAGTGCTACATCTCGCACTTGATTTTGAGCGATTGTCTTTATTGACAGCTTTGAAGGCAAGTTTATTGCATCAATCCGTCTGATAGGAAAAGTTAGTCCTCTTAATGCATCTTCTTGAAGGTTAGATGATTTGACTTCTTCTTTCTTTACTTTTGGAACATAGCGAAGTCCAGAAGTCAGATTCTTCTTTGAAGACATGGTCTTCCCTTCATTGAGATTGGGACAAAGTACTTTAGTGTCAACTTTTACCTTTTCGACAGCTGTATCGATTATTTTGCTTGTGATCTTGTCATACTTGGTTGATTTGACATCATTAGATTTTGTCCCTTTAACAACATAAGTCTTCAAGTAGAATTTTGCATCGGCAAAGTGCGTCTCAACTTCGGTGAAAGGATTATCGTCTGCAACTATCTTCCTTTCAATCCCGTCTTCAAGATACTTCAAACATTGATAGTAAGAAGATGAGACAATTCTATTCTCGTGTACCCAAGTCCTACCAAGTAATATATTGTATGAAGTCTTTGCATCGATCACGTGCATCCATGCGCTTGATCGCAAATCTTCCATGTGAATTTCTAATTTAATAGAGCCTATAGACCTCTGTCCTCCTTGATTGAATCCTTGTATCAACAAACGACTTTCACTAAGTTCTTCGGTCGTGATGCCGAGTTCCTTCAATGTATGGATGGGCAGGATGTTAACTCCAGATCCTTCATCTATCAAGATTCTATTTATCTTCTTCTCTCGCACGTGACCAACCATATATAAAGGACGATTGTGTAGTGTTTCACCAAACAGAAGATCGTTATCTGTGAATGTGATTTTTGTATCACATGTATAAGCTTCTTGGGAAGAAGGTTCAATAGGCTTTTCAGAAGATGAAGGAGCCATCATTGACGAGATTTCCCTTGTTGCTTTTTCTTCGCCACTAGGAGACACTTTTGGTGAGGATTCTCTCGTTGTCCCTTCTCTGTCAGTTGGAGACACCTTCATTGTTTCTTCTTTATCAGCATTAAAACATGATGCCTCAACATTTTCTTGAGTAGACTTTGTGTGCAACCAACTTGGTAAGAATTCTTCTAGAGTTACAGGATGTCGGGGTTTCTGGTAGTGATGCACTTCTACCTTCGCCTTCTTTGGGCGCTTGATTGATTTCTGCTTCACCGGTTTCTTCACCATTTTCTTTCTACTTGGTTTCTCACATGAGTCTTTTTGTAAGCTTGACTTGTTGCGTCTTCGCCTAGTCACAAGAATCCAGCCTTCATCACCATCTATATCAACTTGAGATTTGTCTAGCTCCAATGAATCTTCTTCATGCTTTTTAGCGATATGTATTTGGATCGGATCGAGCGAGCCGAATGTGATGGAGATTTGATTAGAACTAGCTTTCTCATCATCAAGGACAATCTTCTTTTCTCTAACCAATCGCATCACACTATCCTTGAAGACAAAACATTTTTCAAGAGGATGACTCACAAGTCTATGATATTTGCAATAATTTGGGTCATCAACTTTTCCAGCTTCATCAGGCCGCTTTATCTCTGGCAACTCAATGAGCTTTAATTCAAGCAACTCATCGAAAATATCAGAAACATCAGAATCCAAGAAGGGGTATTCTTTTTCTTGCATTTCCCTTAGGATTGATTTTTGGTCTGAACGCGCTTGAGAACTTGTTCTCACACTTTGCTTCTTCCCTTCCTTCGTAGTGAACTTTACAGGTGACACATTAACATTCATTGACTCTTTGTTGTCGTTCTTGGGCACAAATTTGCTCCATCTCTTAGGTTCCTGCTTGTCTCTTCCTTTGCGAGGGTCATGTACAAACGTCATATCCTTTCCTGCAGAGGACATGCTCAATTCCATATCATGAGCACGAGTAGCTAGATCTTCAAAGGATTTTGGTTTTATTCCTTGTAAGATATAAAGAAGCTCCCAGTGCATCCCTTGGATACACATTTCTATTGCAGAAGCTTCACTAAGCCTATCCTTGCAATTCAGGCTCCCGTTCCTCCATCGATTTATGAAGTCTATGGCTGGTTCATCCTTCCTTTGGCGAGTATTCGTAAGTTCTACCATGCTTACAGTACGCCTCGTGCTATAGAATCGATTGAGAAACTCGTGCTCTAGTTGTTCCCAACTATCAATAGAATTGGGCTCAAGATCTGTATACCAATCAAAGGCATTTCCTTTTAGAGACCGGACAAACTGCTTGACAAGATAGTCTCCATATGTTCCAGCATTATTACATGTCTCCACAAAGTGTGCGACATGTTGCTTTGGATTTCCTCTACCCTCAAATTGTTGAAATTTGGGGGGTTGATAACCAGCAGGCATTTTTAAGTTATCAATTCTTGCAGTGTATGGCTTGGCATACATATGAGAAGACTTGGTGGAGACTTCATACTTATCTTTGATAGTGCCTTCAATGAACTCCTTCAAGCGATCGAGTGGGATCATTCCTTCAGAAGAAACTGGCATCTCATTAACAATTGGTGTTTTCTTTGCAGGATCTCCAATCTCTTGAACTTCAACACATTTTTCGGGCGCATGACTCGCTTCTCCATCTAAAAGTCCTTCCATTCGATCCATCAACTTATCGATTCTAGACTCTTGGTGTTGTACATGCTTTGTCAATCCTTCAACCAACTTCGTCAGATTTGCGAGTTGTTCCTCAGAGGAAGAAGCAGCAGCCACCATTGTTTGCATGATCATTGGAGATGTAGGAGAGTAGCATGGATTATCGCGTAACTTGATCTTCAGTGGACTCACATTACGCGATGCACGTGGAGGTGACTCGTTCGTTGAATCATAGCTCTCCCTTGTGGTAGAGTTCTTGGAACCAGATTGCTCAAGGAGAGCCAATGTCTTCTTGATCTTTTCAGCAACACTGCTTCCTCCTTCTAAAGCGTTTGCGGGGACACTTGATATTTTTGGAGTAGTAGACCCAAAAATTGGAGTTGATGCGGATGACACTTGAAGTGTTTGTTGTCCTAGTGTAGCAGCCTTGCTTCTCGTAACAGCTTCGAAACTTCCAAAGGTAACACCCAAAATGCCTTCAACTTCATTAGAGAACTTGGAGCTAGTAGCCTTAGAGGCAGTTGATCGGGAGTTGTTCTTCATAGAAG